ATTAATTAAAGTTGAGGGATGTAGGATGAAGGATGTAGCTAAAAGGCTATTGCTTTCATTGCTTTTTTTCCCAATATAAAATGAGTCAATAGGGAATCTGATACGCCAATCAGAATTTTGCTGTTTTACTACCACTAAAAGGTAACACCGTTTAATCCGCGTCTAATACCAGTGCGTGACCTTCGTACCATATGTTTGAGCATTTTTCCCTCGATGGACTAGAAGTGGACCTATGGATCGTTTATAGAAATAATCGTATTGTTTGTTATTCTTGTTATTCGATTGGATGATCTTGAGGTCGATTTTTAAACGGAATTAGATCTACTGGAGTCACGAACTTAATAAAAGGTTTTGAAGAAAAAACACGAGACAGAAAAATTGCCTCAATTCTTCAAGGCCATAATGGCTATTAGTAGGCATAGCCAACCTACACTTATGGACTCTTCATTTGGTTTTTAGTTGCCTATGAAGCCTAATGGGATATCGTAAGCGAATAATTCCCGAAGGAAAAAACCAAATAAATTTGTAGAAGTACAAAATGTCGAAATCGATTACCTGACATGATTTAGTTAACAATTCAGTTTAGTCAGGCAGGTTATCTACAACAGCAAATGCAAAGAATTGTTAGGCCTATATCACCAATTGTTACCTATATAGGGATTTGTTCAAAAAGAATTGTTTTAAAACAATTGTTTTAAATCAATTTTTTCTTGCCTGTTTTGTTCAAAATGGCTGTACTATTTGATTTTTTTTGTATTAAATAAGCTGAAGAAAAATGGATGTAAAAACTTGCCAAGCGCTTCTTATTTGCAATAAATTCTTCAAAACGCCACAAATAACGATAGCGGCTCATACACACCTTCTCAAGCTGTAGCTCAGTGGTTGGCGCAGTAAGACGCAACCGATAACGTAACGCCATTACGTGAACGACCCTGCTGCGACGAAACCACCTTGCGAAAATTGAATTGGATCGAATAATTGAGTTTGTGTAATCTTGAAAAACTCTATCACTTTAACCTTAAAAACAAAGCTTGCTAAAAATAAATTATCCGAACAGTATTAACCGTAATAATGCCTTCATTTTATGAGAAAAATGTCAATACATGAACTCGAAATCCACATCATGGCGTCATAACAGATTAGTTGAGGCGTCTTTGCATCAGAGAACTCTTACAATTAACATAGGCCAGGCTAGCGTGTCTCGTCCGCCGTCGATGTAAGCATATTCTTCATTATCGCAACCCACTCGTTTTGCCGAAGGCTGCCATTCCTCTAATTGATTTCATAGTAGGCATGTGAGCTAATTTTCATGATTTTTCTTACTCAAAACGTCTCTTTGACATCTCGGATAAACATTCAGGTTAAAATCTAATGACTTGTACAGCTGCCCGAATGCAATGTTTTGACGTAGTTTCGCGGCGATGCAAGGGGTATTTCAATAAAAAATACAGAAAAAATTTGATTTAAAAAAGCCCTTGTTTTAAAACACGATGATTTTTTAGAATTGATAAAAAACAAAACCCTGTACCTATACAACTAGCAGATGTGACGCGGGCCACAGATAATGATGTAGTGGATCAAATGTGGCCCGCAGGCCTGGGTTTGGATCACCCTGAAATATGTCAATATCTGAATTTTCTTTACCTTTCAGATCTATCATGCGTCGTCGTAGGAGACACAGGAGGAAACGGGAAACATATTGAGATTAATTTAGATATTGGAGATGGAACAATTTGCATTAATGACCGTGGCGTTAAAAACTGTGAGATTTTTTCTACACTTTGTATTGCATTGAATCCTTATCAAAAATATGGGACGTTGACCGTTTTAAATGGCACCAATTTGTAGATTGAGATGTTACTACACATATCTACTAAAGTATTGGAATAAAACGCACCTGAACATAACAGAGTTTGCAGAATTTATCACATATATATGTTTTGGCAGGTTTCTCCGACTCCGGAACATTGTGCACGACAACTGTGGGTGACAGTATGACGTTTAGTTTTGACTGCAAGTCTTGCGAAGGAAGTCAAGTAACCTTTTGGTATAGGTATGTTACATAATACTTTATATATGTATATATTGTAGTTCATATTACTTCAATGTTAAGGCAACCTTTAAAACACAAATCATAAAATAATCTAAAAAAAATATTCCTGGACTTTGTGCAACTAATATAAACGGAAGTGTCTTATGGATTTATATATATATATATTTTTACAAAATGAACAATAAATATCACCATAAATGGAAAAGCTTGACATATCATGAATGCATGGGTACCGTCTCGCGCAAATTAATCCATACTCACGAATTATTTTAAATCTAAATTTCATATTTAAAATCTAACGTGCTTTCATATTTCCAAACTAGTTAAATTGCATATGTTCAAAAAATACGCTCCATAATATTAGAACAGAGATTATTACCATTTTCAGAGTTTTTTTGGAAGAACTCGAAAATGGAGAGACAAGTTATGACGAGAATTGGTGTCAAACAAGACAATTGGATTTGCCTAGAAGTCTAAAGCCTGCGGTAAACAACATTTCTAACGTAGTTCTTGCCACTAATGTTCTGTATAAGTATCCATTCATTTCAGTCCTTAAAATGAACACTAGAGGCGGTTTGGCTGTCGAAGTTGTAGACATTTAGGGACCCCAGATGAAAATTGTGAATAAATATATTTTTGTCTACGAAGTCATGTCAATGCTGTTTAGTATATGAGTTAGTTAAGCCAAGAAAAATCCGAAATAATAGAAAAATACAATCAATGCATCATACAACTGACTCAAGGTTATACTATACGTATATATATCCTTTCGTCTCTATTATTTTCCTCGGGTAAAATGTTAACCAACCTTTATTAAATTAAGATGACCGCGCTGGATCTCAGTTAGCTGATATTTGCTCGCAGACACTTATGCGAATTGTAAATAGCATCAGCGTCCAGATATTGGAGTTCAAATTGTTTTGGTTTAATAATTTGTGAACTGAACAAATGAAAAGTCAATCCGTAATACCCCACATCGAATATGTCAGATAACAACGCAGACAAAAATAGAAAATTAAATTTGTATTTTTTTCCCAAGTTTTATTCTATTGTATTTTTTTTTAGAAAATTCCTGTCAATATTCCCACACCTGTGGACTATAACCCCGGAGGAAGTGCCAGTGCCATAAAAATTCACGTAATTTTTATTGTAATTCCGGCTTCGGTGACATATATGTTTGGGGCAATACTTCAAATTTGACTTTCTGATATCTTTTTATATTTCCAATTAAATCCAAAAAAATGCATTTATTTTAGTAGCATAGAAAAGAGATAACGGTAAATATAACGTACTTTGCTTTGATTTGCTTATTAATCACAATATTTCGAGGAAAGATGTTGAGTGTAGGGCTTGAAATGGTTAACCGATTTCAGATGGTTAAGTAATGTATCGAAAAAAATGTTTTGGTATTGTGATATTTAGCTATGGATTTACTACGTGAATGAGATGTTTTGGTGATACGATTTTTTGAAATAAACTCACTTTTTCATCAACAATGATTCCACTATTTGTTTTTATTAAACGTATGGTAGCTGTACATGATATATATTGGCGTTTACCTATGCATGGGGCCAGGTTGGCAATGTGCATCCTTATTCTTATTTTTTCTGATAGAGAAAACTGATATATATATATATGAACAATATTATATATATATATGAAAAAAGTCGCAACACGCCCTGCCGGCGGGAACGATCCTACACCCTGCACGCCAACAATATTATAGCCAATTGTGCTCAGCGTTGGGAATAGCCGCTGGTCAGTCATCAATTTTCCACTACCAAGTCCATCGATCTGAAACAAATTAAGGGTCAACTATTTTCATACCGGGCATGAACTGGTAACCGCAGGGAGGCCATGGCTTGTCATGTGATATATTCGTCTTATAGGCTTTCAACTCTCTGGATAAATATGAAAATCGTATCCTCTTTGATATTCTCTTCCGTAATCAATCAAGTCCCAGATGCGCCCACGCAAGCCGCACCTCACACAGAGACGCATCAGTGCCTTAGGGCGCATTATTAAGAAGATAATATCGACAACAAAGCGATCAAACGTTTACTGACACATCTCAAGTCACATACGCCATTCACTCATTCAAAGTCAAATCCCTAGAGATGGTAGTCCAACCGGATGCTTCGAATTTGAACATGGGGCCTATCGGGGACACAATTACGTAACGAAGACAAGGCCCATTTTCCAATCTCAAGAGAGACCACCCCAACCGAGGCCGTCGCTGCACATAGGCCCAATGCTGTCTCCTTTTGGGACCCACATGAAGACAAGTACAAAACGACATTTGGCCAGTAAAAAGCTAGTGAATTATTCGGACGTCATTAATAAACACAAAGAATGATGCTGGTCAAAAGAACCCAAAGGTAAACCGATGGGTTGAATTTGAATAGACCACCATGGACCAAAAGCCACATGCCCAAACTTCACTAGATGCCTCTCTGAAATGAAGAATGCCCCATTTCTGCCAACCTCTTGCTACTAATAGTGTAGAGCTGGGGTGTGCAACCTTTAATACAAGAGGGCCAGATACAAATAACTGGGTGAAACCGCAGGCCACACCTTTACTTAACATAGGCTTTCTAGTAATTGTAGACACAAAAATTTTGGTTATTAATCTTGTGACATGAATTGTTCGCTTCGCACAAGCTAAGATATAGGCTTTAACTACTCGCACATACTAAATGAAATTAAAAGCTCGTTTCGCGGGCCGCACACCATTCAAAAGTGGCGTTTCTCCGCCGGCCGCACAAGATGACATCCGTGGCCCTAATGACAAGACAGATGCAAAATTGAAACTATCAGGCGTTGAAAATTTCAGTCCTTAAAGTCATGACTTAATGAGATAATGAGCAACATAATCAACAGTTCAAATCATCTGAATGCGTCAATTTTTGACCAAACCCTGTTCAACGTTCAACTCTCACTAATATCATATCATCTCTCATTTAATGGATAGGGAACAGAATAATATTACCACAACTTTTCAAACTTCAAATCACACGAATAAAATAGTGTTATTAGATCGAATTATCCTAGTGATCTTCTTCATATCCCTCCCCAGGAATAGCGTTGGTTTTGGGGTTGTGGAAGAGAGAGTGGTTGCCATCTCCCCACGGAAATTTCTGAAACCAAAATATAAAAAAATTTCAGTTACACTATTACATATCTAGGAATTGTGCTTTCAGTGAAATATTTCAATTATCTGAAAAAATATATTAAATGGATGATTAAAAAACGTCTAAACTTGAATTGTCAAAGTATAGATTTAAAGTGCATATGTTTTGTAAGAGTAACATAACATGATAAGAAAAATTTAAGTCAGGATTTAACAATGAAAAAAATGGGCATTTTATGAATCAACCTCAGTTGTCTATTCGATTAATATCATAGCTGTAACGTTGTTACTGACATTTTAAAAAGGTTACTGCAGTAAATATAGAGCTGGGTATATTTCATATGTTACAATAAGATGAACTATCAGTTATTTTATTCCAAAACGAATACCCAAACAGGAAATAGTAAATGACTACACTCTTCAACAGTTTATTTACAAAAAAACTAAAACAAACCTTAGACCTGAGTCCCATGTGTGCATACGATTTGTATTCTGGTCGGTGATAATGCGCATGATGTTGTTGCTCTCGCTTGTAAACAAAAATAGCTGTTGTGCCCACAACTGCTGGGATGCCAAGGTAAGTCATCCATTTGAACATTGCTAAAAAAATTGCCAGTAAAATATCATAATTTGAAAGATACGCAGGATACCAAATGTGGTGAAAAATCAAGTTTGATACTATTTGGGTACATGTAAATCCTTGCTGAAATGCAATTAACCTTGAATTGTAACATGATCATGTTTTTTTAATAGCTAGAATGAGGTCAAAATTTTAAGAAGATCGAAAAAATAAGTACTTAGAAAGACCAATAAATTCAGGCTGACAAGGAGTAGTGCAATTTTTATTACTTCGAAAATTCAGAAAATCAATGACAAAGAATTCACACAAACCCCGAAGGAATTTCAGGACCAATGATTTTAGTTCACAGTTGTAATTTATACTTAGTTTTTAGCAGCTATCAGAATATGCAATGACAGAAACCTTCTACAACTCCAAAGAATGAGCTATATTTCTTTCTGAAGTCAAATACCATAGTATTAAAATCATAAAAGTTAGCAAGGATATACCAAATGCATATGTAATCATATTAATGCAATCAAAATATTCGATTCCTCACCAGTAGATTGCTGCGATGGAGCATGAGCGAAGCGACACATTTGTGGAGCATATTGAGGGAGTCTACGCCAAACTAAAGAGGCCATAGTGCAGAATAACAGTACTCCAGCCTATAGTAAATAAATCTGTGAGTTATAGAACAAACTTTTTCCAGTGACTGTGAACAAAACTCAGAGCAAAAATGTTTCGAGAGAACAGCTGATTTAAAGCATCTAACCGCAGGTAAAAAGGATTTAGGTAAGATAGGTAAGAAAATTCAAGGCAAATGATTTTAGTAAATATTTTAAGAATAAACTTCTGTTACTGTGACATTGTTCAATTCAAGTACTGTGGTTGTATTTGTAACATCGTTCTGCAATTTTGAAGACTGATATTGGTATATTGCTGACATTTCGAATTTTCTCACAAATCAATAGCTAATTTAGATTCAATTATATGTTCTTGAATAGAATAGGAGTATTAAGGGAGTGACTCTAGTCAGACTTCTTGCCACTGCCCAAAGATACAACTAACCACAGTGACTGTAATAACCTGACAGTATGATAATACTGTAGCAACACAGGCCATGCATATTTTATTGATGTGACAACAAACATCACATTCTAGATATTTGACAATCTGACACAAGTCATTGGATGTTAGTTACATTCAGGCCAGTTCTTCGAACAACTTCACACATTTATAGAAAATACCTATGATATCACATATAGCTATTCCTGTATTCCCAGCTAAATCCAACTGACTATAAATTGCTAAAAAATGGGACAGACGTTTTCAATATTCAGATATTAAAAGTAGAAAAGGTCTCAATGTACCAGACACTGTTTACTGAAATATTAAATGAGAGACTTTATACAATTTAACTAATGCAGTGCTGACAGCGAAATAGATCAGAAAAAATCAGATCTAGTCAACATTCTGAAATTAGTCTGATTTGATATTGATATAACCCAGGGTGGTCCAAACCCTGGCCCGCTGTATTAATATTTGTGGTCCGTGTCACACTTGCTGATATTGGTTGTCAGATTACAATTGGTAATAACCAAAAAATAGCAATTTAATATTGTTCTTCATGAAAATAACTAGAAAAATCTTTTAACAGGGATAGCTGAGACAGTTAGTGGACAAAAGTGATTTTGGTAGGCTAAATTAATAATGTACATGGCCAGCCTAAACTGGCTTACAAATTAGTTATTCAAATTCGACACCATTGAACGACTTGAAACTTCCCCAAATTGATCTATTCCCAAATTGATAGGATAGGATAAGATTTACATATTTATCCAGAGGGAGAGGAAAGCCGATAAGACGGCTTATCCATTTGGCGAACCATGGCCTCTCGTCCGGTTACCCTCCAAGTCGGGTATGGGATTAGTTATATTGTTTGTTTTCGGAAGCATGGACTTGGTGGTGGAGGAAGCCGTAACCGACCAGCGGTTACGTGAACCACCCAACGACGGCGAGGAGTCCAGCAATCCTCTCGCACATAACTAGGTTATCCCTGCATGGGGTTCGAACCTGCGAACCCACGCAGAGTAATTAGAGGTGCGGTGGCGAGCGTATTCCTAACGCTTAGCCCGTTGAGCCACACTGCCGCTACGGTACCGTAGTTTATTTTTTACCATACCGGTACCGAGAATACAGGAATAGGCACAAACATACCGGTACCGTACAAACTGCAATCAATTATAAATAGGCCACAATTGAAGGTGAAGGAGACGAGGAAAACCAGTAACTTTACTGGTTATTGAGCACCCATAAAATACGTTTTGGAAATAATGTGGCCCACGAACAACAAAAAATTATTATTGCCCCCCTCCCCCTACTGCCCTACGCCACAAGCTTGGACTACCCAAATCTAACCTGAAAAGCATAAAAGTGAGAAATAACAACACCTGCACATTTTAGCATTCATAATAAGATGATGTTCTGATTAGCGGTACCGTATGGTACCGGTACCGTACCTCGCGTGACAAAATTTCTAGCCCCAGAAAATCCCAGCTAAACCTATACCCATTTTGCTTTATTGCTGCACCGCACGGCTGCAATTTAGACTAGCGACCGGCCCAATTTCTCCATTTCCCGCAGTCAAGAAGTGTCTCGTTTCCTGAATTATCAAGGTCGCCTGAGCATGGGTAACTCGTCTTGCTGCGGAGAGGTCGAGTGAGTCTTTTCAGTGATACCATAATTGTCTTTATAGTTTGCTCACGTTCGCTTCGCTAAGCTTGAGTGGGACTGTACGACGTCATCGTTTTGCTATAGAGGACTTGCACGGGTCACGTGACTTTGTTTACTGGACGGCAATAAAACAAAAACGTCCATTTGGCTCCCGTCAGTTGCAAGTCGTATTATACGTTTCCGTTTTGTTTGGCTGTTGAAAATGGTTATTTCGTATTGTTCTGTTGGCTGTACGTATAGTATAGTCAACGAAATGGATCTTCAGTTATATTCCACTGATTTCAAAGGATCCGGAACGTCGCGCAATGTGGATATCATATATTGGCAGGACTGCTTGGCGTCAAGTCCAGAAGCCATCTCACTTGTGTTTCACTGTTTGCGGACAGCACTTCGTTGATGGTGAGTGATAATGTGCTGTTATCAATTTCTTTAAATATTCACAAGCTCCCCCATTTCAATGGAAAGGATTAGGATAGGATAGGATTTACATATTTATCCCGGGGGAGAGGAAAGCTGATAAGACGGCTCATCCATATGGCGAACCACGGCCTCTCGTCCGGTTACCATTCCAAGTCGGGTATGGGATTAGTTATATTGTTTGTTTTCGGAAGCATGGACTTGCAGATGACAGATGACAAACTACTGTTATTAGTAGGCCTAGGCGTAGGCCTACTTGCAGTTGCAGACTTGACTTGTGTAAGACAGTAAGGAATTAATAATCAATTGCAATAAGGTATTGTTTCCCTAATTAGCAGGTAATATATTACTAAGTGTGAAAGGTTGAATAGATAACTGAAGTTTAACACCAGTGGTAATGCAAAAAATAACCAGAATTCAATTGAATCCGCCATCTAGGAATACGCTCGCCACCGCATCTCTGATCACTCTGGTATAGGGTTGGATTATCCGGATAGCGGTTAACCGGATAACCGATTAACCAAGAGGTATTTTGCTATCTGATAACCGTATATTATTGTAACGGTTAACCGGATAATAGAGCAGTATAAATAATGCATATGCGCATTAGTGATTTTTATATTTTTTGTTGAGTGGCCAATGACATCTCTCAGAGCATATAATATTCACTTATATCCACACCACTCTGCATATTTTAGTCATCCGTGTAATGCTGGAGTGAACTTGACTATAGTATTACATCACAAAACACGTAGAAAAATGTGATTATTGCGTATTTGCGGTATAGAAGAGCCCGACTTACCTTAAAATAAAAGCATTTCTACTCTAGATATGAAAATAAATGGAAAGCTGCACGAACCATTCCAATTTCCTATTTTTGCTATCTTGAAAATTCATCAAATTTGAGCTATTATTGCAATTCCAATGAGTATAATTTATTTAGTACAATAAATGCAGATATTAATTAGCTTATAGTTATATATCAACATTTTCGGGAGAAAAGTCGGGTGCAGTTTCGTCGGTATATAACGCCGATAATTGTTTTATTTCGCCCGGAACTGAAATGGCCGCAGTATGTTATCTATCGTCGTATCTTATCTATCGTTAAGAGAGTAGATCTGAAACACACATTTTTGACTGACAATAAGGAATTGAATGCTAACGAAAATACCACGACTCTTGATTTATGAGCCAGTGATATTTAAAACAAGACTCTATTTTAGGCGCTGTTGAATCGCCAAAATTTCGTAATAATCGTATTTACTGAATTTACAACAAGGGTAACTTTTCACGGGATGTAACTTCTTTTCAAATTAAAACTGGCATAATGCCGATGTTAATTCCCCAAATAATAACGCGATGCGGAAGAAAACGATCGGCGATGATAACACAATTAGCCTGTAAAATTCGACCGCCTTTATTAGTGACGTTTTCGAAAATTTCAAAATGAGGAGGAAAGGCTGTTATTACATTTATGGTTTTCATGGAACTTTCACAAACAAATTTGTTTGCAAAATGGTCTATAATATTTCAGAAAAGTTTAATGTGACAGACTCTGTATCGTGTCATGTTTTAGGGTGGTAAGTAAAGTTGTTCAAAAACTGGAGCAGCATTGTTTTGGCTCTGTTAATTTAGTTTAAAAGGTATTCGAATGGAAATAGATTTAAAGTTGTGGCCTAATTAGTACAAACGTGAGAATATTTACAGTGACATGTTAAATAAGTGAAGTTTTCAAATTAGAAGAAATTTCTGACCACTTCGGTTTTTTCATAATCATCAATTTGCTTTGTTATTAAAATTTTTGTTCAAATAACTTATATTTTCCTATACACTTCACGGAATTTGTACCCCCTATATTTTATTTTTTGGATACTTCTCTCACCGAAATAAAATGTTCGAAATGCACGATTTTTTGTGTTCATGATTTCATTTATATGTATGCTCTTGTGGTATATATTAGCAAAGTTTATTTTGTCGTGCAAGAAATCACCAAATATTATAAGAAAACAAAATACTATACATGACAATATTAAATTTCATTGCAATTGATAGGAAGGTGCGGATGATCAGAAAGGATCATTGTGAGTCTGCGACACTAAAATTTAGTACGAGTCAAAATTTAAAGAAAAGAGGCTCTAGACACAAAAAGAAACTTTTAAAAAATTTACAAACGGCTACATAAAGGCTACATAAAGTAGAAATAATATAAATCTTTACATATTATTTGAATAGGGAAAATAACTTAGCAGTTGAAAAAAAATTAGGACACAATATTTTCAAAAAATGTTTCATTTTATTATTCCGCTGTACATCGGTACGACTACTGAGCTTAAATTATTATTTATTGACACATGCAATATTAAAATGCACAATAATTCATATTCAAGAAAAATAATACATATGTGAGTATTTACAACAGAATTGTGTGGTGGTATTCGTTCAATTCACCGCGAAAATCCTGCGAAATCGGTTCTCTAAAATCAGCAGTAACTATCCGGTTAACCGTATATTTAAAATACGGAATACCCGGATATATCCGTTATCCGGATAGTGAAAATTATAGGTATCCGAACTAACCCTACTCTG